GTTAAGTGAATAAAGTTAAAATCATTCACAATTACAGTAAAATGCACGCCAATAAAAACTCACACGTTGTCGTTTCGAATCTGATGATCGAAAAACGCGAAGTGAAAATGTGTCTCAGCGTCATGTCTTTCCATAGCATCGGGTGGGCGTTGCGTGTATTTAAGCTCCCGCGGTATGACGTCTCAATCCGGGTTACGGGTAGTGGAATTTCCGCTTACGTAAGTTCCGGTAACATGTAATATCGGAGTCAAAATGTTAATGCATAGGTTTTTGTTCCATGTGAAGGAAATTCCTTTTCACAGAATTCCGGGGATGGGAATATTTACTGTATTGCATTCAATGTCATTTCCCAATATATTTTATATTTTAAATTCATTTATGAAATATTGTCAATACATATATTGTACAAGATATTATATATTGTTCATAATATATTGTTATATATTTTAATATATTGCAAAATATACAAATGATTGCCACTTTTCATATATTGCAATATATTAAAAAATGTGTACTATATGCATTTATATAGTGCAAAATATATGTAATTTTGCATTTATAAATAACTCCAATCATATATTACAATTGGACAATATATTAGTGATATATGTAAAGATATATGACCAATATGATAGAATGTGTGTGTGTGTGTGTATATATGTGTGTGTATATATATATATATATATATATGTGTGTGTGTGTATATATATGTATATATATGTATATGTGTGTGTGTGTGTGTGTGTGTGTGTGTGTGTGTGTAATATTATATGGAAATAAATGTCACAACTATATACAGATACATGTTTAATATATGAGCAAATTTTTATATTAAACACTAAACCCAAACTAATGGGTATATCAAAAGCCACCTTTATTTTTCATCAGCTCAAAAACAAATTCTGACTGCAGAGGTAGAGGGGGAACAGTGCAACATTAAATGGTGAAAATTCTAAATAGAGGTTCTACACCTTTTGCATCACTACAACACCCTTAGCAAAATAACTGAGTGGATAACTAACATGACAACATAAATAGCTGAGTTTTGATTAAAATGTCCAAATTGTGCATTGAGGAGATTAAACACAATTTGCTGAAAAAAACAGTTGTGGTGAATAGTCATACTTCTCAAACAATGCAGGATTTAAACACTCCAACATTCACCAAGTCACTTCGCTAGACAAAGTTCAGTAGTGAATAAGTAGCCTTGTGTCGCCCTGCCACTCAATGTTTGCAAACATTCAGGTGTAATTGATATGTAGTGGCGGACTGCCAGTTTCACTACTGTTTCTGATCTAACTCGACACTTTAACCACAAAGGAGTGCAATTCTTTCTCTGAGTGACACTGCAGCTGTGACCAAAATCTTGCTCGTCACCCTTTATCCACTTATGGATAATCCATTTAGTGTAAACTTTAACATAGTGTGCAACATGCACATAAACATACACACAAACAATGCAAAATAAGTACAAAATGTGAATAATCACTAATTCAAAGTTTTATATACTGTCATATTTGATGACACAATTTTCAATACTTGCCCTTAACTACCATGTGCCACAGTTTGGTGTTTTCTTTGTGTAAGGTCTTGATCTGGCTCTGCAGATCTTTGGTCAAATCGCAGCTTTCCTGGCTCGATGATTCTTCAGGACCAGGGCTGGAATGACTGCCCCCTGTCAGTAATTCATCTTTGAGTTGCTACTTTGGCTTTTTTCTAAAGGGCAGAAAATTTATTTTTTTATTGTTATTACGGCATGAATAATCCAATACAGAATGTGACAAATCTAGATTACCTGTTTTGTTACTGGCACTAAAATATTCTTCACCAAAGTCCAGGCGTTTTCCTTTTCTCATCCTGTTCGGTATACCCCCACTGAGCTGCTGGCTCTCGCTCAGCAGCTCTCAGTGTAGGCTCTCTTTCTACATGAATTTAGAAGGATATGTTTAATATTGAACTTGACTTCTAACGCTGCAGAACAAATAATTACATGACAATTTTACCCTGCAAAATAGTCAAATATGGGATACACATTTTAACAAGCTAAACTATCTTTCCCGCTGTACTTAATAATAAAGCAACTTTAAGGAAATAAGTGAAAAGCGATGTTTGAGAGTGTGTAAGGCAGACTTACCTGCTAACTGAAGAATTACATCCAATTTGACGGGCCATCCATTCGCTGGTTTCTTGGCGTTTGTCGTTCGACATTCAACCAGATATTTCTTGTCAGTAGCGGCCGCTGGGTCAAAGTCAATTATCCAGCTAACTGAAACGATGCTGGCTTTCTCTTTGTCAGGCCCATTGGCCCAACTAACAAGGGAAAACCTATATTTTGACATTTTCACAAAAGACAATGTGTCACTTCCTTCTTCTTGTCTGATTATTGTGCCCAAATAAATAAACTGATATGAAGTTGTACCTCTCCTTTTCCGTGCCTCTACTAACCGACGCGTTCACCATAGCGCGGGCGCGAAATACAGCGCTATGATTGGTTTGGTCACTATGGTACAATTTTGTAGACTCCCAAAATAAATTGTATTTTTGTAATACTATTTTTGTTTTTTGTCATCATTGTATTTTCTTCAAAGGATACACTATTTTATACACTTATTTAATTTATTTTAGCATGAGAACATTAGACATAGAACAATAAAAGGAAAAAATACATTTAAAAACATTTCTGTTTACGAATGAAACTCATGTGGGGGTAGGATGAAGTCTATTCTACTATCAGATTATGTAATTAAAATATATATTTGATTATACCTGTATATTGCAATATGTTGTAAAATATATAGACAGACTATTACATGTGAAAAATAGTGCCCTTTTTGGTCTTAATTGCAACAGTTTTTTAAATATATTTATCAATATATACACATATATGGTCTATGCCTATATTGAAATATATTAGAAAATATAAATACAAAATCTCATATATGAAAATATATTACTTCATGTATTGCACGATATCTTCCAATATACAGTCATACCTCGGTTTTTGACCGTAATCCGTTCCAGAAGGCTGTTCGAAAACCGATTTGTTTGAAAACCGAAACCACGCTCTTTTTAAAAAAAAAAATCTTGATTGAACACGTCTGCTCACAATGGAATGCTACACGAAGAAGCGTCACTTCCTCGTCTACCTGAGGAAGCGTTACTTCCTCGGGTCATGAAGGCGAGAGGAGTCAAGTGGCGCATTCAAGTGCGCTCAGTTTGGTCGCGAAACGATTTTCGGTCATAATCCGAGGCATAAAAAAATACCTCAAAATTTTTGGTCGAAAACTGATTTGGTCGAGAACAGAGACGTTCGAAAACCGAGGTTTGACTGTATTGCAACATATTTTTGTTTCGTAAGGGAGTGTAGACACTGATAGCAGTGTCTTTGTTGTGTCTTGATAATGTCAGGCATTTGGCCTTAGCCTTGACAAGTAGGTCACTTCTAGGAATCCTAGATTGCATTATGGGCCTGTAGCCTTTGTGTCAGCTACCCATTTACAGTCCTCCATCTCCTTCCATCTTTATGTGCCTTTATTTGGTCTCCTTCAATCAAGACTCGTTATTTTCAGTTTGAGATTAGCATAATTCAAAGAAGTTATTTGCCAGGGTTGATTGCAGGTGTAGCACAAGCAGACTTGCAGTCAAATAAAGAAAAAAAACAATTAAAAACAACAGACACACATATTTTTCTTTTTATTTTTCTTTATTTGGCCTGAAATACTGATGGCAGCTCACAGACGATGCCCACCTCTGTTAAGATGGTATTTGTTGCGACCTTTTCCATAATGCAAGGAGACATGCATTTTCACAATTTTAAGCAGTTCACACTGTCTGAATAACCTTATGCCTATGAGGTGCTTTCATTTACATACCCCAAGTTTGAAGAATTATAGACACACTTTTACAACATATGTGGAGCTCTACCGCATGCATTGTGCCAGTCCTCATCCTGCCCCCCCCCCAAAAAAAAAACCCAAAACATTTTTGTTTTAGATTCTGTCACTCATAGTTGAAGAGTACCCTTGATACAAATTACAGCCCTCTACCTGCTTCGTAAGTGGGAAAACTTCAAAAATCAGCAGTGTATCAAATACTTGTTCTCCCCACTATTTGTGCACATTGTCCCTAGTGTTAATTACCCTACTTGATTTCAAGTATCAAGTACACCTTTATTGTCAAATGTGCTGTATTGTGTAACATACAGCACAGATGAAATTTCCTCCCTCTTAAACAGACAACAGACAACAAGAGAAGCTGCTGCGGGTGCCCGCACATTAGCAGAAGGATGCTCTAAAGATTTTTATTGCACTACTACTACTGCTACTAGTGCTCCAGCGAGGGCCGGAGTGTCCCGTCCCTGTCCGTTGAGCTGACCATATGCACCAGATTTTTTTCCAAAGCTGGCGATCTTGTGCCAGCTGCTCTGCTTCTTCCACGGCAACTCCGTGTTGTTGGAGGTCCGTTTTTATTGTACGGGTTCTCTAAATTGGCCTTTAAGAGCACTGCATTTGACAGCCATTTCCATCTGACAGGGAAGCACCAAAGTCGTTTGGGAATCATTGTACGAAGAGAGTCAATAAAACTACAATCTTTACAATCTTCTACTCCCCTACCAGCATAACCGTAGACCTTGTGATCATGTGAATACGTTTGAACAAGAAGCAGGGTGCTGCAGAACAGAGGGAATGCTGGTGAATAAACCGTGGAACTTGGAGAGCTGTCACAAAGATTTGATTTTCTTTTGCAGGTTGTTATGTAGGTCTCACCCCTCAGACATTTTCATCCTCTGCTTCCTCTTCATACCTCTAGAAACACGTGTGAATGTTTTCTTTTGTAATATGTCCTTATTATGTCTTTATATATATGCATGTGTTTTTTCAGCTTGTGACATGATAAGTCCTGGCTTCTTCCTCATTTGGTCCTGGTGGCTGTACAGCTCAGATGGACATACATTGGTCAGAATAGATGAGCCCTCTTGCACAGATTGCATGCATGTAAACACCCATGATTTTCTGTTTTTACAGTGAGTTTATATATATATATATATATATATATATATATATATATATTCTCCTCCTGTTTTTGTAATAACTGTCTGTGCTTACTTTTTTGTGGGCTATTTTCAATAAATTTTCCTCAGCATGATCAACAAAATGTTTGAAATGAAGTGACTCCAAAATGGTTTCTGCATTATTTCAAAGTTGGCCAGAGAGTATTTTTTTTTTAGAAGAAGGTAAGAAAGTGTGTTTTAGGGCTGACAACCATCGAGATCAAAAAAAAAGAAAAAGCAGACAGAAAAATAGTTCTCCTGCAAAATTATGTTGTATACTTGTTCTTATGTAACTAAAGCATGCCTTTTGTTTTATTTGGTGTCTTTGTTTGGCATTTGAATGTGTTGTGGAATGTCACAGAAAGACGTTGATAATCAATTCTCGCTGTACGTACTTATTTCTTCCTCTCAGAAAGGGACTATACCAGTCTTTGTGAGAAACAGCCCATTGGTCGGCTTCTATTTCGTCAGTACTGTGACACCAGGCCAGAGCTGAAGCGCTGCATCGAATTCATGGATGCTGTGGTAAGATTTTCAACAACCTAATTTTTCTGTCATAAAATAAAATGACACAGTGAACTACAAAGAAATGTCCCAATCAAGAATGAAAAAAACACCTTAGAATGTAAACGTGCAATTTTGCAAGTTATGACCTAACATATGGCGTTAGCATCATTACTGCTTGCAAATGTGACTGATCAAAAGATGACACGATTGATTGCTGCTTTCATCCGGTGGCTGCCGGCTAGTTATTAGCAACTAAACTGCTAATGTTTAAGTGGTCAGGCTGTGCAAACTCTGCTCACATTTTCATGCTTTCCACTTGATCACTTGGGTGGTAGTTGTTCAAATGATTCAACAGCTTTTGTGTATTGCCTTGTTTTTGACGACGTACCATGCACAACAGCTTCCTCCTCCACGTCGCTCCGGAGGTACTGCTTGGAGAGGAACTTCTCTTATCAAAACGGCTTCATCTTTGGAGTCAGGGCTGCCATTCAGCTGTGCGTTTAGCTGTACATTTGGTCAATTTGTTACCATTACTTTCTGTTTACTAATTTTTCTTTCAATTATTGGCGGATTATTTTTATTTCAACTTGCAAACCAATGTTAGAAGGGGGACTCCGATTGAGAGTAAATTTGCTCACAGCTTACAGGTCTGTTTTTGTGTGGCCCGATCCTAAATGGGGGCCATCGCCCGGTACTGATCCGCGGACCGGTGGCTGGACACAAAAGATTGAAGCGGTCTACATTGACTCCCGACATGAAACCAGCGATGGGCTGTGCATTTGATACATGGGCTTTAGTGGGACTTTACTTGACGTAATATACCTCTTAATTCCATCACTATTAATTATGAAAGCCATCAATACTATACAAGTTCAGAATATAATAATGTGTGAAGTTAGAAATGTGTTTTGCTTGTCGAAGTCTGCTGGAACAAGTTTGGCTCTTACTAACATCCATCCGTCCATCTATTTTCTAATCCACTTTTTCCTCACAAGGGTTGCGTGGGGTGCTGGAGCCTATCCCAGCTGTCTTCGGGCAGTAGGCGGGGGACACCCTGAAACGAACAAGCATCCGCGCTCACAGTCACACCTCGGGTCAATTTATAGTGTTCCACTAACCTGCCATGCATGTTTTTGGAATGTGGGAGGAACCCGGAGTACCTGGAGAAAACGCACAAAGGCACCGGGAGAACATGCAAACGCCACACAGGAAGACCAGTGCTGGAATCAAGCCCTACACCTCTGCACTGTGAGGCATACATACTAGCCAATTGCCCACCATTTGCTGAACAACCAGTGGACTGAAAAATACTGATTTAGACAAAGGCCGGCTTTCTGATTTCTATTTGAAGCTGCCTGTAAAAAGCACTTGCCGCTAACACCTCCTTCGTTAAATCATGAATTAACTGTGGCTAATCACGGTTTTTCAAGAGTTTTTCACCGATCACGCCCAAACTGGATTAGCCCCCGACCTGTTCACTCAGCAAATCAGTAAATTACATTGAACTTGTCTGACAAAATGAAGTTTGCCAAAGGATTTCAAATAACTGCAACAAAATACCACGATCCAAACAAATTCAAGAACCAAAAGTAAATGACACCAATTAGTCTTGAAAGGAGAACAAAGCCATTCCTAAAACTTCAGGACTCCAGCAAACCACAGTGAAAGCCATTATCCACAGAGAGAGAAACATGGCTCAGTGGTGAATCTTCCCTTGAGTGGGAGGATTTCAAAGGTTACCCCAAGAGCACAGTGATGACTCATTCAGGAGGTCACAACAGAATCCAGAACATCTAAAGAACAGCAGGCCTCCATTGTCCTTGAGTGTTTTGAAAGGCGCTTATAAATAAAATGTGTTGTTATTATTATTGACTCAGTCAATGTCAGTGTTCATGACTCAATTCGGAAGAGACTGGGTGAAAATGGCATCCATGGCAGTCCCAAGGTGAGAAACACCGCTGGTCAAAAATAATATAAAAGCGTGTCTTAATTATGCAAAACATTTTTTATCTGATTTCGTGATCTTTTTGGAAGGGGTGCTGTCTTGTTACATCTACCTTAGTGTGACACAGAATTACAAATAAAGAACATCATACGCATCGTCCAACATGGTTGTAGTGTGATAGTCTAGGGCTGCTTTACTCATTCAGGACCTAGATGACTTATGAACCATTAATTCTCCTCTTTACCAGAAACTCCTGAAGAAGAATGTTCAGCCCTCAGTTTGCGACATCAAGCTGAAGCGCACTTGTATTCTGCAGCAGGACACAGCCAAAACACGCCAGCTAGTCAACTTCTGAATAGATAGAAAAACAAAACATTGATGGTTCTGAAGTGGCCTAGTCAATGTCGAGACTTGAATCCGATTGAAATGCTGTGGCATGACCTAAAAAAAAAAAGACGTTCATGCTCAAACACTCTGATGTAGCTGAATTAAATTCTGCAGCTCTGCAAGGAGGAGTGGGCCAAAGTATCTCCAGAGAGAGGTGAAAGACTCATTGCCAGTTAAAGAAAATGCTTGATTTCAGTTGTTAGAGTCAAATAAAAACAGCTGAGAATGGACCAACCAGTTATTAGGTTTAGGTTGCAAATACTTTTCCACACAGAGACGGGTAGCTCTGACTTACCCCCGCAAAATACTTTACCCTATAAAAACTGAGTTTTATGTTTACAGCACATAGGTTATCTGCCATTTTAATTGGTTTGATCTTCAACATTACATTGGGTAAAACTGCATAAAAAGGAATTGGAGAGCAAATACTTTTTACTGCAGTCTAAATGTTGTGAGACAAATTTCTCTGCCCACGATAATTTTGCAAGTGATCCGCAAACAAAAAAATACCGATTACAATGAAAGAAAAACAATACCATCTTGTGTGTCACTTCCCTCACAGACCTCACAGCAGAGTTGCCGCTGCTAGTCATGGTACTCAGTACTGTACTTCTCTGAGTTTCCATAGCTGGCCTCTGACGTGTGCAATGTTGGTATGATGTCAAGACTGTTGACGCAGGACTCCCCATTACTCATGCACATCCTGTGGCAAAAAAAAAGACTTAAAAGCTGTGCCAGTTGACCTCCAGTTGTAAAACCACAATGGCCTCTCCCGCTGATATGTGTGAGGGCCCACTCAGTGTGACTTCTCTTTCATGATATCCTGTGACCCTCTCGTCCTCTCCTTCTTTCCTCTTTGTATCTCTCCTCTCTGTCTTCCGGCCTTCAATGGATTCCTTCACCCTATCTGTCGAGGTATGCAAAATGTCAGTGTTAGTGGGGATTGTTGTAATGCGTGTGCTCTTGCCTGTGTTCTCCTGACAGGCCATGTATCAGCTAGCTCCCGATGAGAAGCGGAGGGACTGCGGATTGAATGTTTTAGACACTTACTTCAATAATGGGGTAATCCATGTTCATACTCAATACAGCCATTCTGCATAGTGGCATGTGTGTACCTGGCCCCTGTGTAATGCCCATTGTCAAGAGTTCTTTCTGTTGCCCCCTTCAAGTCGGCAGCCCATCTGCCAGGCATACCCCAAGACGTGGTTGCTGGATGCCGGGAGAGACTTGAACAGAGTCCTTGTAAGGAGCTCTTCAATGACTGCACCAAGTAAGTTTTCTCCACTTGTATGGCCCTTTGGATTAGTTTTTTTTTAAGGCTATGTAACATGGGTCTAACTGAACCTCCTCTTTTAGAATGGATATATTCTTGTAATGAAAAGGAATGTTTGTCAGAGGCTTTCTGTATGACGAGTCTGCGCCCTCGCAGCTTAGTGGCACCAGCAGAACCGCTCTCCTTCACGGTTTGTGTTTGCACACTGTGTTGTGTGCATCCTGTCACTAGTGACGATGAGGCAGCTGGCACCTGCTGTGCAGTTTTACACACATACACACACACCCACAAAGAGGAAAAGTGATTGAAAAAGGGGAAAAAGTTCATTGGGCAAAGCGATCATCCGGATGGCTGGCATGAAAACAACTGCAGCCTCAGTGTTCACGCAGACACACGTGTACACACAAGCACACACGCACACTTGCAGGTGTTTCAGCTGCTGGTGTTGCAAGCCAGGAGCAAACAAACCGGGGATTATAAGACTGAACTTGCTTCTCATCACATGACTTGATTTGGAATTTGCCACACTTTTTTTTTTTCACTTGCTAAAAGTTTCTCCCATTTGTATAACAAGACAACACTCAGGATAATTTGAACCGTTTACTTTTATGACACTGGTAAAATGTATTTTAACACGTCCATTCCAATTTTGGCTTCTTTAATCACCCACAATCGGTGAAATCAATCATTTTTTAAATTCAAATTTCCAGAGGCATCCACACAGGACTCCCAGAACACATGCATATACTGTAAACACAAATTCTGGTAGGCATTTTAAAATGTACTCCAGAATTTTCAGTGTGATAAGCTGTTTCAGAAAACCATTATAGGAAGCAACACTAAAAATCGATACACTGACAAGTTGGGATGTATTTGATTGTGGTTAGGACTGCACGACTGTCCGTGTTTTATGTTATGTGTTGTGTTTATTATTTTACTTTATGTTAACTGTTTTGTTAAGCGCTTTGTTACAGCTGCCGCTGTTGTGAAAGCGCTATATAAATCAGCATGTATTGTATTGTATGTTGTATTGTGTTTGATTTTATTTTGCATTGGTTCACTGCTGTCTCCAGCCAGTTTGGCAGTGCAAATGAGAATCTGGTCTTGATTGCCTTACCTGATAAATAAAGTTTAAATAAATTATAAGTGGGTGGCAAAACAGCGCAGTGCAGAAACATGGAACAACATGATATTTGTTAGCGTTTCAAAATGGTAGCAGTACACTATTTTTACTTATAATCCCTGGTGGAACTTTGACTTCAATACAGAATTCTTTCTCAATTCATCTTTTTTCTGTGGGAAAGCCCAAAGGAAAGCATGGTGCTGCACATGGAAACATGACATTTTCATGGTTGGTTGCAGACCAGAAATGATTTGTTCACTCACGGGTTTTCCTGCATTGCTGTGCAACTTTTTGTCATGCCAAGTTCAAACGGGTATGCTTGTCCATATCGCACATATTAACATGTCTATTTTTTTTCCTCTCTTTTCCTCTTGCTCTGCCTTCCTCAAACAATAGCCATATTGTAGCAATGTTTATTTCTGCTCCCAGTGGTGTCTGTCAAGGGCTGGGCACCCAGCCAACCCCTGCTCAACTCCTCCCTCACTAAATGTCTTTGGACTGTTCCAACCTCTAAGACAAAGTCTTGTCTATTGACCTGATAACTGAGCTTTGATATATACATAACTTTATTGTGGAAGGGGAGAGTTGCGACCAGAACCTGGTATCCCCAAAACATGGTTTGTGTAACAAACACGGTTATATGTTTGGGGTTATAGAGCAGATCACCACATAACAATATTTTCTAATGACCAATATCGGTCCCTGCTTAAAGCTCGTATCTTACTGAACAGTGGATGCTTATGACTGCTTGTGAATATAGCAAATTTGGGGGTTTGATCAGGGTTCGTACAGCAAGGCTGGGCAATTGACAGAATGTTGCCGGTTCGTGATCCGTCAGCGGCCTGAGCCAAACTGTAATCGCCAGTCGCTTATGTTATTTCAACTGCACTTACGTCATTGCTTCGGTCAGTAAATTTCACTTGTCTTCCAGTCTGTATATCGCTACCTTATTTTCACAACCATACGGCGCACCATATTAAAAGGCGCAGTGTCAGATACGTTTGCTATTTCTGTATTTAAGACATGCACAAGATGCACTGTATTATTGTACGCAGGTGTGGTAAAACATACGCTTGATAAAAAAAAATATGGTAGCATCCATGCACGCTAGCATATATTTTTAAAATGGCAGCAGGAGCAAAACTGAGTTTGGATGTACTTTGACGTATTTAACATTGTACTCACGTTATTTTTTTTATTATTATTTTTTTTTTTATCAATCGTCATCCTCAAACCCATAAAGTCCTAATCTTCTGTGTCCGAAATGAACAGCTGAGCAAGTTCACAATCAAACACGCCAGGTTCCCTCGCGTCAGTCAGTCTTGTTGCCGTTGAGTTTAAAATGGCTGACCTTACCCAGAATCCCACTCCGCCTTGAGGCCCAGGGTAAAATCCAATCCAAGTCGCTTGCACTCCTGGCTATAAATACTTTGTCGTGGTAGTTTTCTTATTTTTCTTCTCCTTCGTCTTGTTACATTGGCGGATTATAGCTCTTTGGTGCCTACTGCCACCTACTATACAGGAAGCTCAACATGTGTCCATACATAGTCAATGGAAGCAACCTGCTTGGATTGAACCTCGTGAACACACACACTAGACAGGCGGGGCCTGGCGTATTTCTGTCAGTTGTCAGCAAAACGGGCGTCCCTCAAGTGACTGACTGAGCGGTCCGTCGGTGCTTGACCCGTTTAGTGGCAATTATACTCACAGACAAATTCCACCTCCGTCACTGCTTGGTCCATTTTCCATTTCTTGCTAATATTCTTGCAAACATTTTCAACCTTTTATGAACCCTGACAAAAACCCCAAATTCGCTTAAACACACAATCATTTGACCCTTAGTGAGATATCATCTTCACAGACAAAACCTCTCATATCTGCAATATGAAAAATATTTCTCACAAAAGAGAGCCGACATTGATGTCATATATTACTGGGATCTGTGATGACATATCTGTTTGCTTTTACAAAGCAGTCATGGTGCTACTTTTGTGGAAATTCTACCACATCTGGAGCCAATATCAGCCACAGTTTCCTCATCTTATTTAGCTATGAAACACTCGCAAAATGTGCAAGGGAAAGTCTCCTTGCCATATGAGTGTGTTTTTTTAAACGTATTTTTAGACTAGGAAAACAGCAGGCACTTCAGATGGTTTGAAGAAGGTTTTTTTTTTTGTTGTAGAGCACCTTTTTTCTTCGTGAAAAGTTCTTATTTAGTGCTGAGTTTTTTTATTTATGTTTCTAGAACGATAATAAATATTGTAAAAATTTGTGTGTCCGCTGCCATGCATTCATAACACTTTTGGAATGGGAAACATAAGGGTTTTCTTGACCTTCTTGGTATTTTAATCACCATGTAGTCAAAGCAGTTGAAGACATCACACACATGCCAGATATCCAGGGTCAAGTTAACTTTTAGTGACAGTTGACACCTTCAAGAAAGTTCTGTGTTGCCACCTTTTCCACCATTATGAAGCATAAAGCCAATTCGCTAAATCCTTTGACCTACACACAGCGGATGCAGTGATTTTTATAGAATATATTTGTATTTTTCTTAAAACATTGTTGCTGTCAATGTATTTGTCAAAAATTGTCTATAACATTTCTTCTTTGATCAAAACATTTCTATATCTCCCCAGAATAGTTCGTGATTATCTAAGTGGTGCACCATTTTCCTCCTACCAGGAGTCCATGTACTTCTCTCGCTTCCTGCAGTGGAAATGGTTGGAGAGGTGAGAAGTTAGTCTTGTTGTGTAGCATCCACTGTGCTTATTTCCTGTAGGTTGTTGCATCAGAACGGTTACTTAATACAATTATGATACTGGAAAAACATTGATACTCTGTCTAGACTCTAGACAAAGCTAATGTTGGACATTTTAACCGTTTTAACCAGAATTTTCAAGTCCTTCATAAACTGAAATTAAATGCTGTGAGATCCTACTACATTGTAGGCCTCTAAGGTCTGTGAGAAATAAGGTGGAAGAAGAATAAGAAGGTAACTAATGTCAACCTTCCTTCATGTTGGTTGACATTAGTTACCTGGTCATACATTACCGAGTCAGAAGCAATTAGACATCCAATTAATAATTGTCATGAGTGATGAGTGTAATGAAGGAACTCACCATGCTTCTGACTATTTATAACTTTAACTGCATACCAGTATAGAAAGAAGTCAATCAAAAACACACACATAACCTAACTTTTTTTTCCGAGTAACTAGCATATGTCAGCTAACCAGTCGTTGACTTGTTTACTAGGTAGCAGCTAGCATAAGAAGCTAGCAGCTTAGGAATTCACTCCCAATATACTTGTCTTAATGATCTTTGTTCACAATATACTGCTCAGTACTTCTCCAGTGGTTGTGTCCTGTTAAGCAAATCAAAAGATTACTCTTTTCATCACCATGGATGGTCTAGCTGTGCCCCCTCACAAAAAAATGGGTGTTGCCAAATGTCCTGGTGCAACCAACTGAGAAAGTTTCGTAGCATCAGTTCTACGAGTGTAAAGGTTGATGTAAAGCCCTGACTCCTCTTGCGCATTTATGATGCACAGTTGCCCTTGTATGAAATGCTCATCTCTCAGAATTCTCAAAGGGAATATACTATAAATGGTTTAAAGAACTTGAACCATAAAGGAAAGGCAAACAGTCTCTTCTACTTCTTCTACTCAAAACACAAGTGTGGCGCTTCTTATTGCTGACTCTGTTTGAATATTTAATAATGAATGATAATTTGCATCATGGCAGGAAACTGAAGTAGTGTGAATAAATCATAATAAATTAGTGTATTGTTCAGTCTCCAGCTTCACATGGCATTTTAACTTAGCTGTCATTCTTCCTATCTTTCCATTCTAGGCAACCAGTAACCAAAAATACCTTCAGACATTACAGAGTACTAGGAAAAGGTGGATTTGGTGAGGTGAGTGTCTTCAAAATAACATTTATACTGATACAGTGGTGAATTCATTTTAAGTAACCTTTAGGCCTTGTTCAGTCTGCCAGCTAAAATCCAATTTTCAGCCCATCCAGATTGAAACTGGATACCTCTTTTGTAGTCTGAACAGTCACAAACATAAAATCCGGATTTTTGCAAGACGGATTGAGACCACTCTCTGGAGTTAGTTTCATATCAAATTTGTCCAAGAGGAATCTGATTGGAATCAGATATGCTTGCAGTCTGAACGCAGCCTTAGGGGTGACACGACACCTTTCATGAGCGTACTCAATTGAATATAGTAAAATCCTGTGGTTTCATGTTGACTTACTGTCTAACACCAAATTGTTTGTTCTTGTGTCCTTGCTACTTGTTATTTCCAGGTTTGTGCCTGCCAAGTACGTGCCACCGGTAAGATGTACGCCTGTAAAAAGCTGGAAAAGAAACGAGTGAAGAAAAGAAAAGGTGAAGCAATGGCACTAAACGAAAAACGAATTTTAGAAAAAGTTAACAGTAGTTTTGTAGTAAGTACTACCTTTTTCTTATTCAATCTTTCAAGCAAATTGTATCGTGTGTGTGTGTGTGTGTGTGTGTGTGTGTGTGTGTGTGTGTGTGTGTGTGTGTGTGTGTGTGTGTGTGTGTGTGCGCGTGCGCGCCTACAAATGGAACAAATGGCATATTTGCAAAAAAATCCCAATCAGCAATCAAATACATAGCTATTTTGCATTTTGATGTCCACAGTTTTCAGTGTGCCTCTCAGGTTCAGTGAAAAGAGAGCGAATGGAATGAAACTGTACATGTGAAAACAAATCACATGCCACATGGTAATTTTGAGCAGCTGCAGGTAATTCTAAGCTGCAGCTGTACTGCTGATGAGGATTTTGCAAACATGCTCACTTTTATTTCATTTGCAGTTTATCTTATGGGAATGCTTATAAAATGGTTACATTATGGGAATGCCTGTAAAATGCTTATTTAATGTGACTTCTTGGTGAAAATGACATTGGTACTGATTTCAGTTCAAGTGCAAAGTAATCAATTAATTTCGTCCGAGGGGGAAACTTACACTCTTAAAGACTCTTCTATGTTTTACTGAAGCATTTTTGAAAAACAAAAACAGGTTAAGATCTATACCATCCCGAAATATGAATGCATACATATGCTAAATAACAGTGTCTGTGGATTGACAACAGCGCTGCATGTTTACTTCAGAAAAGAGTTGTGTGTCTTGTTGCAGTGACATTGAGTCTTTGATGGAATTTGGTGGCCCACAACACACTGCACACAGAATGCAGACAAAAGCAGTCGAGTGGGTCTCGTTGAGTATGTGTAACAGAACCTAAACCACCCCTTTCTAAAAATCATTAACCTGCCTCTGTACCACCATGCAGAATGCTTTTAATAGTGCTGTTTCACTTGGCTGATTTTCCGACTGAGCAATTCGATAAACTGAGGCATAGTCAAGAACAAGTGGTCATATTTGGCTGCCACTTGAAGAGCAAGTTTGATCACTTTTTTTTGAGAGTCAACAAGCTTTCCATTTCTTGTGTGCTGGGCCAAAGCACCGAGGGTCAGGAATGTGAAGCTGGCAGTCCTTAGCCTAAGGGAACATCTGGAAACATAAAGGCGAGTGTAATTAATGGCTTTGCTTCTCAAATTAAGTCGGGGATATGTACGTTTAACTTTTGTTATTTTTTCAATGTCAGGTGCCCCTAAAAATCTGACTCAATAGGAACAGAAACTTGACTTTTGACAGTATTAATCTTGTTAGAATTATTGTTTTACAGACAAGGTTATTATAACAGATGTCATTATTTCTATTGAAACATAGTTAAGCTTCCAAAAGGGATCAAAAACTATTATCAAAAAAATGTTGATTTCCATTTTGTGTTTAATGTGGTTTGGGTCCATGAAACACAGCATGACTGCTCGCAGCTTATTCACATTGAAGTTTATGGCAGAGCGTCTCCATGTTCTCCATTTAAAGCCAATAGTTTGAGTTGTTACATTGTGATGATGGGTGAGCTATGTTGAGTGTCTTGCCAGAGTGAGTCATGCTGCTCACTCACACACACGCACGCACACGCAAGGAGAATGGAGTGGGCTTGTTGCCGACCCTTACAAGCTTGTGTCACCTGGGATTGACATGGTTCTTTTCGCGCACGTTTTGTGTGTTCGTTCTCTGTGCTGCAGGCAGAACTGATGACTCGTCATGTACCTCTCTATCTAGAAGAGCTGCTCTGTTGCCAAGCAACACTGACCAAACAGCAGTAGCAAGGAGAAGAGTCGAGTGCTCTCTGAAACCCCTCATCGCTCTCTCCTGTTCTTTGTCTTTTTGATCAGTGCTCTCTATTAGTCAATAGATATTGTTACCTGATGTTTTCACGTTTTAACTCGTTGCCGCATATAATGTGTGTATCAGGAAATTTCTTAACTTTGGCCACCCCATTGCCAGCAGTTGACAAAGAGCCGCTCACTTGACTAACTTGGGTGCCACATTGATCATCTTCCAAATCCAAGACAAGACGATTGAAAAACACCGTTGTTCTTGCCCAAAATCGATTTTAATGAAAAGCTCTCCTTTAAATCAGATGTTAATTTCCGAAAGAACTCTTGAAGACAGCTCTGAAAATATTAATTGGACACTAAAATATGTTTGCTTTCAGGAAACATTGTCTTCTCTCCTGCCAAAATAAACAGAGGGGTCAGTTGCCAAAGACTGGTAGCGTCTTGTTTATCCTGCTGTCCCCCTTAATGCTTTGTTTGTTGGGGGTGCCCATGATATCTCACAGGAATTTTCCCACACCCTCTTGTGGACAGTTACTTTCGACCTACTCTAAAGCAGATGGGATTCCTCCCGATGGCTGTAACATCCTGCTTGTACAACACTGATACACTCAAACACATACACAATACCCAGCATGTCATTGACCCTCAGGGGAGTGAAGGGACGGTTGGTGGGAATAATGAGGGGGAAAATAGAGCTCAAGAAGACGGAAAAATATTAGCATACGGAGGGAAAAAGATGCTTCTTTGTAACTCAATCTTGGTCTTGACATTTAAAATTCATTGACAAATGGATTGAGAGAGCCTCTTAATTAGATCATGAATCAATCAGAGCTTGGTCTTGAGCTCTGAAATTTCTAAATCTTAATCTTAACCAGTAATTTTGAAAAAAATGTTCCTCCTTGGTGGGAACAGTTTGGTAAACCCCGCCTTCTGTTTTGTCTTGACCAATGAACTAAGCATTGTCCAAAAGGCATGGTTGGTTGAGATGGATTTGGAAAAATCTCATCTCGGGGTGTGCATTTCTCCAGTGAAACATGTTTCCATAAGTATCTCGATATACAGCGTGATTTAAAGACGGTTTAATTCTAAAATGGAGCGTTTCGATTCGGTTCGATTCAGTGGGATTTCTATTCAACATGTTTGAGAGAGAATGATGCAATGAGTTACCGTATTTTCCAAACTATAAGCCGCTTTGAACCATGCGGTTTTTCATGCACTGTGTTTTATTTCAACATTTTTACTGATGAGGTTCACAAGGTTTACCCAATGTCTCGTCACATTTGACCACTGAAATTACCGTACACATCAAAAGTGGACCAATGAAACTGTCATGAGTCCACCCTCATACTGAATATTCATCAGCCGTTTGCGGTTGGAGTGCGCACACTGGCTGCCTGAGAAACATATCAGCTTGTGTGCGTACGCGGTACGCGGCTGTGTAGGAGCAAATATAGATGGTCGTAGAGCGAAAATAATATACATCTTGAGTTGAATTAAATGAGCATATGAAACAAGTGCCAAAAATTCAGCCATCTCTGCCCTACAACCCGATCTCTCTTTTTTGTTTGGCGCGACCGACTCCCACCATTGGTGGCAACGGATGATTGGTGCTAGCTGCGAGCCACAAGGATAGTATTTCTGGCCACGGCGTAACAACCCTTGTGTCTCCCAAACACGTTAACAAACGGGTTTCCAAAGGCTACACTGCCCCATAGTTCTGTGTACTGCTGCCTGACGAAGCGCGACAACATATTGGCATCATATGACAACAAGAGAGAGTCTGAGAGAAGTTTGGGGGCATTGTTCTGGGGGGAGGTTAGCGTCTATGGTGTTAAAGGTAAATGAACGGTTTTAGCAATCCATCCGCGTGACCTCTTTCTTTGCAAATATGCCATGTTGTAACATGAAGACGCGCGGCTATTCATACAAAGTGGACAATATCTGTAGAAATGTTTTTCTGGAAAAAATTTTGCTGTTGTGGCTTTTATTCAATTCATTCTCTCCAATAAAAGATGATTCGATACATAGCTCAATTTTTTTTAAAGTGTAAAGATTGCTTTTGCTTTAATGCAGTCACATCTGTTAAATCTAAACTCATTTTCTAATTCAAATCTTTTTTTTTGGTTACACCTCTAATCTCATCAAACACATTGGGATGAACTTTAACCTAGACTATTCACCGGGCCCACTTATCCAAGATCTATCACATCAGACCTATTTCCTTCCTTTCTTCTGGATTGTATTGTATAATGAATGAACAACAACAACAAAAATCCAACTCCATTTCTTTTTTCCATTTTTACCTCGTTATAGCTGTGGCTAGTTGTCTCTGCTATTGTCTCTCCATTGCATATCTGGAAGACTGAATTACATACCTTAAAAAAACATTATTATTAATGTGTGGGAGTTTTCAGTCGCTGAGTATAAATTCTTATTCTGGCAAAAAAAAAAATGCCTACATTACATTATGAATCATACTGAACCGTATGTTGGCATGTGAATGGTTTATAATGATTCTGCCCCTCGTCTCTTACCTCCTCTTTTCTTTCTATGTCTTCCACCCCTATTTGTCCCACATGCAACTCCTTTCTCGCCTCCTTGCCACCTCTATCCCAATTTGCCCCTTTTCCAGGTTAGTTTAGCATATGCCTATGAGACCAAGGATGCCCTGTGCCTGGTGTTGACGATAATGAATGGTGGTGACTTAAAATTCCACATCTACAACATGGGCAATTCTGGCTTTGATGAGCAGAGAGCCATCTTTTACGCTGCTGAGATCTGCTGTGGCCTTGAGGACCTGCACCGTGAGAGAATAGTCTACAGGTTAGCAAAGACGGGCTTGGGAGTTAACCGAGTTGATACTCTCTCTCTTTCACGATCAATAGCTTCAAACACTAGATTGGCATTGTATCATTTGTCAAAATGATAATGTAAATAGTTAAATAAATCACAAAAAAATCTGAGGGTGCTATTAGTATTCAAGGTGGAACACTTAACACCCGGCACCGCATAGAAAGACTAGGCGATTGTTGACTAGTGACTGATGTGCAACGTTACGACACGTCGCCATCTTAGCTGAACATTTGCGTAGGTGCTGATAATTTTGTTATCTAAGGTTAGTCTGTGTGAATGCTGCAGCTCTGCTTACCCTTTGGCTTTGACATAATAATGTTTCTCGGTAGTCCAGAGGCCGAACTTTGGACATCACCTAAAATGGCGGCTGCCTGTCCAGGCTAGCTGCTAGGTCATTTGTGGAAAAAATCTTGTGGCAGTATTATGTAAATTAGGTGCATTGCAAATTTCACAAGCCGGCAAAATTCAGAATGGTTTGCTTGTCTCTTAATTACTGAAGTTGTCTTCTGTTATGTCATATTTTATGACTACAAAATGAAAAGTTCTGTCACAATATGTTGATTCTTGTCTTTTTCCAGGGATTTAAAACCTGAAAACATCCTTTTGGATGATCGTGGTACGTCCTTGTTTCTTCTTTCAGATCATCTATGTTTGGCAAGAGGGACTAATTTGCATACCAGCGTTGTTTAGAATAAGCCAGTAAGAAGGATTGAGTAACGTAAATCAGCAGTGACTAAATTCAGTATATTTTGTGCAAATACTGCAGCGTAGTGAATCCAATCTTGTACTGGGCTAAGAAGTCACATCTTCATAGTTTGCTCCCTCTGAATGCTTAGCTTCTAAAATCTGTGTTAAATCATAAGGATTATAATTTATAGACCAATTATCATAGTTCTGTGAAATCCTACTTTGTTGTAATATACTGTAAATGTGTCCATCTTCCTTAGGGCACATCCGCATTTCAGACTTGGGTCTTGCTGTGCAAATTCCTGAAGGAGAGACGATAAGAGGAAGAGTAGGCACTGTTGGATACATGGGTATGAAGTGGACTTCTTCTCAAATGCAGTATCACCCTGCCAATAAGTTTGACCCTACCCCTGTCAAACTACCATTTCCAGTTTTTCTTCATCCTTCCTTCCACAGCTCCCGAGGTAATCCAGAATGAGAGTTACACCGTTAGTCCAGACTGGTGGGGTCTAGGCTGTCTTATCTTTGAGATGATTCAAGGCCAGTCACCCTTTCGCAAGCGCAAGGAACGTGTCAAGCGGGAGGAGGTGGACAGACGAGTGCGTGAGGATCCTGAGGAGTACTCGGATAAGTTCTCTGAAGAAGCAAAAGATATCTGCCGCCAGGTGAGGGTGAATGGATAAAAGTTATTGTTGTTTGTTGCATGGTTAAAAACAAAAGAAATTCTCGCTTTGGAGGTAGTGACTTCAGTTCAGTATGCTGGCTATGTGGTATAATGCATGGTCATTTATCAGTAAAATAATAATTAGCTGAGGTTTTGCCTTATTTGCAGCAAATGAGGTCCTGGTATCAATGCTTTTAATTACATCAATTTTTTTTTTTTAATGGGGTGGGGAGGGATTCCAGGAATTGACTCAAATTCATTATAATTGGTGAGTTGTTGTCAGTATATGATGTCAAGATATACAGCACTCTCAGCCCAGTATGGTACACACTTTGCATTTTGAGAAAATTGTGGAGGCCGCCAAAATAGTGTATACCGTGTCACTGCTTGGCATCCTTTCATCAGTCTTATGGAAAGTAGAGCAAGCAATCTAAAGAATGCAGCTACACAGTACACACATTGTAGTAGTTTGATGAGGCGATCGATGATAGCACAATAGGCTGAAATAGATAGAACACTAAATGTAACTCGAATAAAGCTTGTGTTCTTTTAATTCACAGCTGCACACAAAACAACACACAGCAGACGGCCAGATAGCCTTCATTGTTGCCCTTTGTCGACTGCTTATACAGTCCACCTGACCCCTCTGTGTGATGTCATACTGCCCCCCTCCACACACACACACACACACACACACACACACACACACACACAAAACATATTTTTCCCCTAGAGTTTACTGTCAGAAACCATGCTGTAATGAGCTGAACTGAATTTTAAATTGCTTGTATGTATTGGGGCATTTGTAGCCATTTCAATGTATTCCGTTTTTTAGTAAATAAATTTTCCCTGCAAACCCACTCATCAGTGGACCAAGAGAGAGCTACTGAGCATATCTGTTTGGGAGCCAGAGCGGATGAAACGTTTATTTGCGTCCTGCTGTGGAACATTCTGACCTGAGGTTCAATAGATTAGACGACTCCCCAGGGGGAGGATGAGTGGGGAGGGCAAGAAGAAGAAAGGTTTCTGTACAAAAAAAATAAATAAATGGAGTAGAAAAGTAGGGGATGGGGAAGAAGTCATGGAAGAGATTAGCTTTTTCTCACTTCTTTTCAAATGATTATGCAATTTTTTGGGGGGTCTGTTTTTGGCTTTGTTTCGATTTGTTGCTTACAACTGTTGTCATAGGCGAAGAGACAAATGAATTTGCATCTTCATTCATTTACATATTAGAAATAAATTCACAAAAATAAGAAGACAGCCTAAAATAGTCAGGTGACGTGAGTTGAGAGCAAAAAGTGACAGGGAAACTGGGGGAGAGTAGCGCACTCACAACTAAACAAAGGTGAACTGGAGAGGTGTGGTGGAAAACTGCACTCATCCACTTCATGAAGCCCTCTGTGCTGGAGGAGGTGTGGAGGGAAATATATACACACTCTCAAACAGCAGCAGTGCTTCTAGCCGTCATTGTGTTGCATTAACCCGTGACTGCGTGAATTATTATGCATTGGTGGGCTTCATTGAATTTTGTGCAGTCAGATACATTTAGTCGAGAGGGTGACCTGCAAGCCATTTAGTGTACATGCATGTATTTTCAGAATAAAACCTTGAGTATAACATCGGGCTCACTTGCCCTTCCGTCTGTTTTCTACTTCTTTTGGTCAGTCAGCCTTAATGTCCAAGTACATAATCTATCTGATGATCATTTTTGTTTGTCTCCCTCCTACTAGCTCCTGGCTAAAGATCCTAAAAATCGTCTCGGTTGTCAGGGTCGCGGCGCCATAGAGGTCAAGCAGCACTCGATCTTCAGGAACATCAACTTCAAACGATTGGAGGCGAACATGCTAGAACCTCCTTTCAGCCCAGATGTAAGAGTAGCACGCATGTGCACGCGCACACACGTATACAAAAAAAAAAAATCACCTTTTTACCACTGCACTTCACTTACCAACTATTTAGCAAATCTTTCTGGGTGGTTTTAAAAAAAGGCCTTGGATGTGATTTTATTTTAAATCTAAAATTGAAATTGACTTGCATGAAAGAAAAAAAAATCTCTCACAGAAATGAAAATGGAGTAGTAGAACTACGCAGTGGTGAAGTTGCACTGTTCTTGAAAGAGAAGCTGTTCAACCAGAGAATTGTTTCTTTTTCAGTCTTATAAATAGACTGGCAGAGAGAATGTAACGGTCCTCAGAGGTTAAACCAATATTTGCTAGTACAGAATGCTCATCTGTTGCTGTGTAGTGTACGGTTGTACTGGTGTGTAATTGGGGCCACGGTGACAGTGGAATCGGGATTTCCCCATTGATGATTATGGGCTTGATTAATCAAGATTATTATTTGAGTCATTTCCAATGAACCTTTCCTTGGGGGTTAAACTTCTACAGCCTTTTTTTCACTGCATGCTCCTGGTCTTTCCTCTTCTGTTAGCCTCGGGCTGTGTACTGCAAAGATGTCCTTGATATCGAGCAGTTCTCCACTGTCAAAGGTGTGAACCTTGACCCCACCGATGACGACTTCTACCACAAGTTTGTCACAGGAAGTGTCTCCATCCCGTGGCAGAATGAGGTAACTGCAGGATCTGGACACTGGGATGATGTCATTTTTCCCACAGCTTGCAGTACAGTACACGCCTACCTTTGTGTCAGTGAAGGGAGAATGTTAGCTATACGCCGACCAGCCATGACATTATGACCACTTGCACCATATTACATAAGGATAGCCAATATAAGATATGTACCAAGGTACCAACGTAGTGTGCATGAGCACCAGGTAGCCCCCAAGGGCGATGTTGATTTATCCCTCTTTGAATTAATAGTAGTTGAGATAAAAACCGTAACAAAGAACACCTAGTATTATGCATTCTTTCCTGACATGTAACCGGTTATCACATAAAGACAAGCTTTGTTAGACGTCACATTTTGTGTTGTCCCCCTTCCACGAAGGAATGACTAAAGGTTAATTTTGAACATGTTGGAGTAAGAGTGCAAAACTAATCACAATAGGCAAAATAATGGAAAACATGAGGTTGGAAGAAGCAAAGTTTCATTTGGTCATGGAGTTGCCACTCCCACTAAAGATGCCAGATGCCACAATTTTTGACAGTGGCACGTCCAAAAAAAGAAAGTGCACGGAACCAAGTCGAATTTCTTGGTGTAAACAGCGCTTATTAAGGGTGCTTCATTCAAATAACATTCTCCCTCCTATAGATGATTGAAATGGAGTGCTTCAAAGAAATCAATGTCTATGAGACTGATGGGACATTATGTCCAGACCTGGACATGAACCGGCCGAACCCTCCACCAAAGAGAGGCTTCTTCTACCGCCTGTTTAGAAGAGAGGCAAGTGCTAGCGCTTCGGCAACTCTCCGAGGGGGTGGGGGCTAAGGTATTTCCTCTCTTCCTTCTTTCCTGTCCTTGCTTTGTCAAAAATCAATTCAATGTGACTCCTGTCTCATGTGATTGCAGCATTTTTAGGTTTAACTTTACAGTCTGATCATTTCCAGGCTTCCTTTTTCCTCTTTTTGTTTACCCCCCTGGGTTGAATTTGACACTTTGGCTGTTATGCTTCAGAAATTATTACAGTTGTCCTCAATGGTGCATTTTGCCTCTTCCTGAATTCCCTGTTTTGGCAGCATCGTTCCTTATATCTGTTTCTGACGTCTTTCATGTGATTGCTTGCTTCAACAGGTAGGTTAAACTGCTTCACACTAATATGTCACATCACGTATGCCTCCTCTTCTTCAGGTCTGTTTTAAGGGCGGTTACAGTGACGATGAGTTTGAGGAGCCCTCGCGACTTTAAACCACTCCCTTTGCACCACCCCCTCTCCCCCAAAACACCCCCAACCCCCTGACACCACCCCTCTCACTTTGCCGCTAATCTTCACCGTAAACTCCAGCCGATTGCAAATCTTAGGAACTCAGTGAATGTTGACCTGTATTTATGAGCTGTATTAAAAGTGTATTATAATTAAAGAAAAAAAAGTATGAGTTTAAAGATTTTGTACCTTTGTACTTGAATTTATGTCTAGATGTATATTTTCACTAAAGGTTGTATTGTACAAAAAGCCATAAAAGTACCACTTGAATGCATACATGACATTTTCATTTTATTGTCTTTGGGAATGACTATGGATATGTGTTTTTTTATTTGTTTGTTTTTGTTTTTTTTAAGAAGCACAGTACAATTTTACTTTTCTCAATGTAGCATAAGGAATTTATTTTTATTTTTAAATGTGCTGTATGTGTTGAGCATTGGCCAATGACATGTTTTTAGCACATCAGATCCAACGATCCCAAATTAACCCCATTGCCTCCTTATCCTTCATGGCTCAGGTACATCTGAATGAATTCTGTCAATAATGGAGAATACATTTGACCATAATTGCTAATGGCAATTTTACAGTACATTATAGTACTGTACATAAAATCCCTCCCGCTCTCACTATTCTCGTGATTGATTGTTAGGTTTAACCCATGTAAGCCTCTTCCCAAGTGGTGCAGATCTTGACTACAAATGTTGGTATAATATCCGACAGTCCAAAAACCTGTGAATTGAAAGGCTCACAATATCACGATCAAGATCAGGCCTTGTTTCCTCCCCCGGCACACAGCCTTTAAATAAATGTCTGTCATTCACTGCTGAGGCAGAGAGATGGGGCATTTCTTTATCCCAGACCCCTTTTTAACCTTCTGATGATACCAATTGTATCTTTCTTATTCTTAGAATCTTTCTCTCAAAACTCTTCCTCTCTTTGTGTTGAATTACTCCTAAAGACCTAGACTAATGAGGAATGATGGCATAATAGGAAAAATCTGACCTGTAGCTGACAATTACTACATGTTGGTGAAACACCTCTGTTGACTTAAATGAACCACCATCTGTTCTGTCAGTAGCTTTTAGCCACTGAAGTGAGTAATAAAACAAAACAAAATAAAACAAAAAAAGCATCTGTGCAGTAGATCGTAAATACTTGGCCAGATGTCCTACTGTAGTATAGAATATGCGGCTACTGTACATTCAGTGATTTAAGCTGTGTTTATACTAGATCAAGGGAACGCTGTTGTAATAGTGTTTACTCTTCCATTTAAGACAAACAATAGTATGTTCTCTTTTTGAAATGGCTTTGAGGTGCTCTCTAGTGAGGATAAAGACAGATAGATGCAGGATTTGAGCCCCTTCCCCATTCCAGCAAAATTGAGTATTGGGGTTTGCTAATTTAGCTGCATTTAGGACTCAGTTTTGGCGGATGTGGTGGCTCTCCAAAGCATTTGATGTTTGGAGATGCCCTTTTGAGGTGGTCAGCGTAACCTCCCACCATCTGTTTTTAATGCTGTGAATACTCTGTTTTTACACATTAGCTTACTGTGTACATTGCATCGTATAAAAAAATGCAGCTTTTTGTGAAGTTCAATGCATTAAATTAAATTTGACATGATTTAATAAGTAAATCCAATCATTTTAAGTTCATTTTGTTTCAATTCCCCCCCCTCTATAGCTCTATTGCTCTATAGAATAAGGCCGCCGTTGCACATTCCATTTTGACAATTCAAACGTGCCATGTTTCTGTTGCTGTCTTGAGTCATTGTTTGTCTTTGTTGTACTCAGGCATGCTCTGAAGCTGACTTTCTTGCCTTTGTAGATATTAGTCTTTTTCGTACTTCTGGCCTCAAAAACTTTGTACATTTAGAGTGCAGCTGTAAAAATCTTCACTTGCTCTCATCGAGAAACTCATGGCTACACTTACCGTTTTCACCTGCCATGGTCAGTAATTTCTCCTCCACATAACATTCATAGCTAGGATGTTTTATTTTTTATGTTTTTGCCAATTATACCAAGAGAAAAAAATGAATCAAATGAAATGTGTACTATCTGGAAAACTGAGGACAGACTGTCTTCGTAGTATGTGCCAATTGCAAGAAGTACATTTGTGACCGTTTTTTTACATTCTTCATGCATACTTCCGTCCATTCTGAAATAAATTCCTTCACTTACAGAAACAAACTTTAAACTGGTCAAAGGTTTTGAATGTCCACACTAAGTGCATTGTTATGGCTGTTTTAAAGAAATACATTTGTTTTATTACTCAAGCATGTATTGGTTTGTAATACATCAGGTTCCTTGTATATGTAAATGACTTTTTAGTGCCAACATATCTCTGGTATCTGAGGACAGTTTAAAATGACAAGGTGACCTGTAAAGATGGCCTTGTTTGAATATGTTGAATGCATTCCTTCTCTGATTGGGATTCAGCCCTTCCAAACTGGGATCAACCTCAGCAGTAGCACTTGAGCGAGAGATCCTCAATTCCTTGATGTCGCTTGGGTCTAGTCATAAGCCTGGAGAACCACTTAGGGCTTCTCATTCTGTGTAGATGTTAGTGCAAAGGTATTTCAAGGAACGCTTTAACTGATATTCCAACAGGGCCTGGGACTTTTTTTTTTCCCCCTTTTCTACCTGTACAGTCATGTTGTTCAACCACTGCAGTCATTGTTAATTCTTGTACAAGTTGTATCACTGGTTGTTGTACCATATCTTACATTTGTAATTATGAAACAATACACTGCCATTTGTATAAAAGTTCACTTGTGTCCTGACTATTTAATGTTATTTAGCATGATTAAAACGTGGTGAGTTGGGCATATTATCCTTTGCCACGTTTACTGTGAAATATCAATATCGCCATTTGTTTGGCTTGGAATAAAATGACCTTGAGGATTTGGTAGTTTTCGGGCAAAGCGGAACCAAGCGGTGTGTCAGATATCCTATGAATCGTTTGTGTGGAAACAGACAAATCCACTCAAGTGTTGCTTTTTGGGTTCAACACAGAACGAAAAGGCGTTTCGCGTGTGACACTTATGGATGTTACTGACTCCCACCTCTCTCTTGAGATTCAAGCAACAGTAATATTCTTTGTTTTAGCCTTTTAGTTCAAATCTTTTATTTGTAATTGAAATTGTACCAATAACTTTGGATGCAAAGCGTCATAGATCTGTCGTGCCGTCCCGTGACTGAAGACTAACAGGGGCGCGGGCGGGGTATGTGACTAAATAGCGATTTATGATTGGTTAATGGCCACCCAACTGTAATCTGATTGGTCAGTGAGTCTCCTTTCGCCCTATTAACAAGCTGTCAGTTTGCCACTTCCTGGTCTGATTTCTGCGGGTACGCATAGCTGCATGAAGTATGGCCCACCAACTCATATTTTCATGGGTAAGGTGCAGTATTGTGCCACGGTAAAAGTCATCTTGGACCTTTGGCTGGAGATAGAGAGCCTTGCGGGAGTTGTAGCAAGGTGCGTTGGTGGCACGCGACTGCACCACGCACCGCGTACCCTGCATGTGCTAAAGCTAGTTAGCTCATAATTGTAAATATTAGCAAGCCAGGCCAGCTTTCTTATTGTGTATTCCAAAAATGGCCACCATGGAGAAGCTAATGAAGGCATTTGAGTCGCTTAAGTCATTCCAGCAGCAGCAGGGACCACCGACCGCCGAGGAGCTTGTCCAGAGACAGTAAGTTGTGTTTTTTTTAAATACAACCTTGTTAGCTTAGCGAGCTAACAACCAAGCTAGACCATTCCGCTCGCCCACGAGTCGTGAAAATGATAATTGCAGCCACACTAATGTCTAATTTACACATTTTAATGTTAAGTCGCACGTTAACATATCTTACGATACTTGCACCCATGCAGCTGTTAATTTAATTTCATTATAACTTGTGACCCTCAATTGGAATTTGTGCAGTATTGCCAGAGCCTAATGTACATTACTATTGTCATAGCAGCAATCTTATTGGTCTATACAGTATTCGTTAACGAGTTCACTGATTGTGCTCTCTAACGATTGCGCGAGAGTCCAGTGCCTTGCAAAAAGTATTTTACCCCTTAATGGAATAATTGACAATTTTTTTCCTGTTCCAACCACGAACATAAATATTTTATTATTGGTATTTCGTGTAGTAGACCAATACACTAAGGCAGGGGTCCCCAACCACCGGTCCGCGGACCGGTACCGGTCCGCCGGGCATTTGGTACCGGGCCGCACAGAAAGAACTTGCCTTAATTCCGGTTTATTTATTTCGGAAAATGAAAGATGTTTTATTTTGAAAAACTACCGGATTCTCCGTTACATCCGTCTGTGTCACACTTGACACACATCAAGCCACGCTTCTCCGTCACGTGACCGATTACTTCAAAACAAACACAGGAGCTAGCAAAATGAGTAAAAAAACTGCTGGAGATCAAATGACGGCGGCCTTAAAAGTACGTTCAAGACAACTGGATTAAAGTTATGGCTGAATATTCTGAGATCGCCATAGTAGCACTGTTGCTATTTCCGACATGCTACCTGTGTGAGGCGGGGCTTTTCTGCAGCAACGGCGACTAAAACAAAATTACGAAGTAGACTTGACCTAAAACACGCACTTGAGGTGTCATTGTCTCCTATTACCCTGAGATGGGACCGTCTGGTTGCAGAAAATCAAGCTCGGTGCTGTGGTGAGTCGTCATTTTCATGCACTTTGAATTTGCGTTGTATCGTATTTTGAAGGCATTAAACATTGCCATAGCGATCGTAGTGTTGCGGCCAGATTAGACGCTCCTTGTGTTTATTATTATATTTCGAAAACACCACAGTTTTCATGCAGCTTATACCATATTATTTTGTTGTATTATTTCCACCACACCTTAAATGCCGGTCCCTGAAAATATTGTCTGACATAAACCGGTCCGTGGGGCAAAAAAGGTTGGGGGCCCCTGCACTAAGGCACATTATTGTGAAATGAAAAGAAAATAATGCATGTTTTTCAAAATATATTTCAGTCTACTTTACTCCGGTTACCCTAAATAAAATGCTGTGCAACCAATTGCCTTCAGATAAAAAAAAAAAAAAAAAATTAAATCACCTAATTAGTAAGTAATGTGTAATTAAATGACTATGAATGCAGCAGTTCTCTGAAGACCTCAACCGTGAGAGGACATTACTGAGGTTTCAGCACCATCGTGGTTGGGAGGATTCTTTGGCGTATCATACTTTTCAGATGGTTTGTTTTTGAAAACATTTTTCTTTCCATTATACAATGATGCCATTTTGTGTTGGTATATCCCAGTAAATCCAATTATTTTGTCAAAGCCACATTGAATACTTTTGCAAGCAGCTGAATCGGGTGCATCACTTGATGCATTGATGGTGTTTGTCTAACAATATTGCATATTTTTTCCTGCTGATTTTTTTTTTTTTTCCTACCCAAAGCTGTGGTAACTACTAATCATCATGGTATTATCGACAATTAATTGTTATGGTATAAACATACATATACATTTGATGCAACCTTTATCAGGGATGGGCACATTCTGGCTCTTTGACTAAAAAAAAAAACAAAATAAAACAAAACAAAAAAAAAACTTAGTATGCACAGATGGAAATTGGTGGTGCTCTCCAGCATTTGAATTGCCCAGCCATTTGCAAACTCTTTATTTTTTATTTTTTTACAAAACTGTACATGATTGTTGTACTCTCCCATCACAGGAAAAAAGAGCAGGCCACAACTAAAAAAGACAGAGTGACACACTGCTTGACAATATGTGAAAACATAGTGGCGCAGTCTCTCAGGTAAGTCTTGCTGCAGTATTTATTGTAAAAATTTGAGCCACTAATTCTCATAATTTGAATAGGGAGCATTTTAGAAATTACGCCAAATGAAACAGTGTTGTGTTTCTGCATCTTTGTATATACGGTAATAACGTTTTCCTCACTCTCTTTCTGCTTGGAGTAGAACATCTCCAGAGTTCCAGAAATTGCTGGGCATCGCAATGGAAATGTTCCTGCTCTGCAGTGACGACAGCGAATCAGATGTCCGAATGGTAGCCGATGAGTGCCTGAACAAAATAATCAAAGTGAGAGAAAAACAATTGTCCTTATTCTTCCTCACCCATACTTTAGTATTAAAA